CTTGGGGTAAAACCGCGACTGCAACCCTGGTTTGCATTTGTATAGCTCACAGCATGTTCATTTACATGTTAAAGCCTCCCCTAGAATTCCATGGGGGGGAGGCATGGGGGGAACACTGCCTAAGAAAGTCCACGTCAATTTCTGACAATTTACGGAAGTTTTCGGCGAAGCCTGCAAATTACCGTAAACTGCCTTTAACCTAAACTTCCACGACAATCTACAGTGCCGCATATTGACGAAAATCCCACTTTTCATGCAGTGTTTTGCCCTGATTTGCTGGGGCCTGTATGCAGGAATTAGCTTGACAGAATGTTGATCTGATGACCCGAGGTGGGGGCGGGTAGCTGCTCTGAATGCATCTTTGATGTTAGAGAAGTTTAAATCTAAAATGTTTCCACCTGAGTAGCAAAGTCCGCATGTTGGTAAAAATGACAGAGCACAGTCTTCAAGTTAGCCTGGTTAAATTCACAAGCAATGATGAAAACACCCTCTGTGTGTGCAGATTGAAGCTCAGAGATAGCCTATTATAGATACAGAAGATAGAGATAGCCTGCAGAGGCCTGTACTTTCTCAGCCAAATAATCAACAAATGGGAGCACTATCACTCACTTCCTGTACATGGATGGCATCAAGCTGATACCTAGCATGAGCAAGATATTGATCACAAATTCCAGGATCTACAGCAGGGACTTTGGAAATGATTTGAACTGGAGAATAATGATTAGAGGAAAGGTAATCCACACACAGAGGATTGCACTCCAGAAGGGAGGGTAGCAGATGTAGAAGGGAGGCACAAGTACCTTGGAATACCACGTACAAATAGCAACCACACACAGCCCACAGGGGAGGCAGCAACAGCCAAATACCTGTGATGAGAGGTAAGCTCAATGGTAAGAAAAAAAGCTCAATGGTAAGTCCAGGCAATCGAAAGCTATACCTTGCTATACGATACCATGCCGGTTTTAATAAGTTAGCCTTAGGAGGAAATTCAGACCACTGATGTAAAACAACCAAAGCTACTCACCATGCATGGTGGATTCAACACCAGATCTAGTATCCACAGACTAGTGCAAAGGAGGAAGAGGCCTATGGTCAGAGACATTATCTACTGAAAATGGACTTTAACTGTCCTAGGATTGACACTTTAACTGTGTATCTGGTTATTTATTTTTTTGTTAAAAAAGTATTTTTTTCATTTGAAAAAGTTACCAGTGGTTGTGAGAGTAGCTAAACATTCTACACAAAAGTAGTGATACTACTTATCTATGTTACTACAGTGCCAATAAAATATGCTGCAATCAAGCTACACCTAAAAGTACTTCAAAGAAAATTTACACAACTGTTACTGGACTAAATGTAAATTACCACACCCTTTTTTTCCAGAGATATACAGTTTAAAGACAGTTTGATAAAATACTCAGAAAGTGTGTGTAAACTTCTCAGTTCAAAGAAAGTACATTTACACTTTTTTTGTGAACATTTATCAACTATGATAATTTTGGTGATCAGGAAATATTTGATCTGATCTATGGTCTGTGAGAAATTCAGTCCATTAGTCTTTTAAAACCTTCCTTTTAAACTCTTGGTTTTACATGTGAATAAACCAATGCCCAACACACGATGGATTATTTATAGAAAATGAAACCTAAACTATATCTTAAGATATGGTTGGGCGGGATTGTCTTTAAATCAAAATTTGTCTTTTTTTTATTGCAGATAAAATTCTCTACAATTACACATCAAAAATAATATGATCTTAGTAGTATGAAACAAAGAGAGAAAAAAAGAAGAAAATTCAGAAAGTCCCCCAATTGTATACAATTACCTGCTTGTAGAAGTGAAAACTACAGTTGGATGGACCACACGTCAAAATGCAACAGGAGAAACAAAAGTAAAACTAAATAGATCCTTATTTGGAGTTTCCTCCCACAGGTTTTTATAAAGAAGCAGATAAAATTCAGGCCTCAGTCTTAGACGGGCACAGCCAGAGGTAAGTCAAGATCAAAAACTTCAGTATTTCTCTAAAGAATCATACTTTAAACAGGGAATGTGTTCAAAGATGTTAAATAATGAACCGTGAACATTCTACAAGAAAAAAAATGATTGATTTTGGTGTTTTAAATATGTATCAATAAAACTTTTCAAGTAGACTCAGACAGACAAACTTTAGTGTAATTTTGTACACATAGGATGTATACAAAACAAAATCTCATTCAGTACAGCTTTCAGGACATTTCCTTTTTAAATAATCAAGTAACATAAAGAGAAGAGACAATCTGCTGAAAGGTTTGATTTTGTTGGAATTGAAGCAAGCTTTTAATAAGCTGAGAGATAAAATATAATTTATACAGTAAAAAGTTGTCCTAATGTTTATTGATAGGGTTTAAAGGTATTCGCTCTAACAGAGGCTGCATGCATGTCTTATCTTACTGACGCCTCAGAAGATGTTTTCCAATTTTATATGTTTTGTAATAGGCTAGATTCTCTTAGACCCAAGATTATTTCAACAAATAATCTCACAGTCCTTGTTGTTAGAAACTATCAATATGAAAAACTGTCAATGTTATCTGTGAGAATGTCTCCATGTGCTTCTTGAGCAGTTAGGAAATTACTGCATCGGTTCTCCCATATAAAGGTAAAATAAAATCATGACTTGAATGAGAAACACTGGATCTCAAATTCTTGTTAAATAAGACTTAGACATTTTTTCCATCAGCAGAACAAAAAAAGGATATTCTTATTAAATATTACTATTAAATGTCAAATCCATATTTGCAAAACTTAAAAAAAATTAAGCTGTATCTAATTATATTTGGAACACAGCAAATTTAGCTATTGAGTCATGTAGGAGGCATATGGAAATATGGAAATCCCTCCCCTGAGCTGTTCTCCTCAGTGACCTTGTTGACGAAGGTATGGCAATGGAGAAGAAAAGTAACGGATTCAAAATGCTGTACTTCATGCAAGGATCATAAAAACAAGATATTTTCCCTACAACAATTATCTTGTTTTCCCTAAATGTATAGGTAGTGGCTGCCTAGCACAGGGGCATGGCGGCCTAGTGGTTAGGGCATAGAGCTTGAAATCAAGCCCCACTCACACAGACTGCCACTCTGGGTCCCTGAGCAAGACCTTTAACCCCTGATTGCTCCCTGGGTGCCCCCACGACTGCAGCCCACTGCTCCCCAAGGGGATGGGTTAAATGTGAGATCAATAGAGTTCAATTAATTAATTAAATTTTAACACAGTCCTCTTACACAGTTGCCTATTCTATTCATTTATTTTTATTAATTTAAAACAGGGTAATGTTTTAAATAAATTTGTATTTAGCATGAGGTTAAGTACATGCTGTGGTCACCATATACTTTAAAAAAAGAGTTTTTTTGGGATGATAGAACCTCAATACTTACATTACATTCCTTTTTACATGTTTTTTCCATTGGACCCATTGTGAAACTGTTTGCTTTGCCTTGCATATTCATTTGGCAGCAGTACAGTATGCAGACAGTTCCTGGAGAATGAAGGAATTGATACCACAGATATAGCCCCAGGCTCCCCTCAGCTAAATCCAATTTAACATTTCTAGGACATCGTATTCAGTGAAGCCCTGGTCAGAATCTAGGATATATCCCAGTATCTAGACGAATCATCTAATAGTCAGCATGTTGTGTTGTCAGGAAAGAAGCAAGGAGAGGGCAAACAAACTACCAAATCCTGTTGTGTTGATGTTGCAATTACATTTTACAGCAAACTGGTCTAGTCTGTGGTATCAGTTTTTCAGGTTCACTGTTACTTTACAAAAGTAGGAATACCCAACATGTTTTTTTTCACAATAAAGATTTGATAAGTTTTCAGATATTTTCAACAGTGCACAATGTTGAATGCATGTACAAATGTACCCCAATGGGTGGCAAAGTTGATTCATTTTAAGTGACATTTAATTGACACCTTTTTAGAAAATGAAAGGCCTCTTAAAGTATGGCAGCAATTAAAACAGTGGTTGAGCTTTGGAAAATAAGCAAATATAAATACCATTGTATAGTATTTGTAAATAAAATACATGAATAGCTTTAGTCTTAAATGTTTTGCTTCTTTTTCTCGTTTTCCTTTCCAGATAATTTTACTTCAACATGAGCACATTCAGGTGGGCTGAAGACGACTTTGATCTTCCTGCTGGAGCGTCTCGATTGCTTACCCCGCAGCCGAATGATGGCCAAACCTACATCATGTACCATGGAACCAGCACAAAGTTTGCTCAGGCCATCTGGGCCACTGGTTTCCGTCAATCTGAGGATGGGATGCTTGGCCGTGGGGTCTACCTCAGCCGAGACCTGCAGAAAGCAAGTCACTATCCTATTGATCACCCTGAGGAGGACAGGGTGGTCATCGTGGTTTTGGCCAATGTAGGAAGAGTAAAAAAAATTGATTGCCAGAAACACCCTCTGCAGAAGACCTGGCATGATCATGGATATGACACCGCCTGGGTACCGCCCAACTGTGGGATGGTGAAGAGTGGCCTGGAGGAGGACTGCGTCTGGGATCCCAAACAAATCATGGTCCTTAAGCTCATCAAACCTATCCGTGTCCCAGCCCAGACCACTGCAGGTTCTTCATACGGTTATAAGTAAAATCAAGCAATATCTGATTCATTTTGTACAATCAAATATATTTTAACAACCAATAATTGTACTTTGTCTTTTTGACCTTAACAATAAAAGTTTTAAAGTTGTGAAAATTACATCTACATCATTCTAAAGAAATTTGCACTTAAACGTTGAATGGTTCTTTATGCTTTATATCAGCTTTGTTGTTTATCATAAAAGGAATTAACCTAACCCTAACCCTGGAAGCACCTATTGTAAATGTTACACATGAGCTGTTGACCTCAGCTCCTAAAAATAATGCTGGTACAAGCTGATACATCTCTGCCCCCTTGTGGTGGCAGTAATGTATAGCAATGTGTTGCTGGAAACGAGCACTTCAGTGTATTTGGTGAACTTCATGAAGTTCTTTTCCATAATGACTCATAAAAGAACAGACATATGTATGATTAGGCTTGTCCCGATCCGATCCACG